TCTTTATGGAGACTATCCCTCTCCACTGGCCCTTCTAGATCTACCCCATCCTTCTGCATTCTGCTCTCTACCCCAGGGGGCTGATCCATTAAGTAGGTTTCTTGCCCTTTATCTTCGAGTTGGGTTTGGTCAATGGAGATACTCAGCAAGGAGTCAAGGAAGGAAGGGACTAAGGTCACGTTACTGCCCAGTGTGTCCTTCAGTGTAGGGGACAATGTTTGACTTGTTTCCTTGGGGAGGACTTGTCAGTTTCTTTGGCTTTTTTCCCTTGGGCCAGTCAAATTTCCTAAAGAAGACTCAACCAATCTCTTCCTAGCCCACTAAACCTGGCTAATTTTAATATGCTCAAAGAAGAGGGCTTTGGGTTTCAACATTCCAGAAATAAACTTTGATTTAATTATCCTTTATTTAGCATGGCATGTAATTGTACCTGGGCTCAGTTGTGCCTGGGCTCTGCCAAACCAGAGATCTTCTGTTGTGTCCTCTGCAAAGAATGAACTTCCCATTGTGTATTGGCATGTAAGAGGGGCAGCTGGTAACAAAAGGTATATATGAAAATTTCAGTTCTTTTAAAGTATTTTCAATCAGCCCTCATATCTTGAGCATCCCCTTCATCTTCACTTTCAAAGGAACCCAGTGTCACAGTTTCTGACTTCTGGTGGGTTTTGATGTATAACTCTTGCTAATTTGCTTTTCTTATCAGTCTAGGGGCCAACTTCCTAGAACCATCAGTAGCTTCTATCCTCTTTTCCTTTTTCTTTGTGAATTTATGTCTTTAATGTCTTTTTCATCTTTGTTTTAGTGCAGGTTTGGAAAAGGATGACATACACGCCCATTTTTAATCTGCCATCTTTAAATAATGGCCTCTTCCTTCCCTGATTCCTATGGAACGTACAGCTTCTGTCTCCCCTTCTGAGCCACAGTGGTCTCATGTTCCTCTTACTTGGTACTTCAGCATTGTTTTATGATGTTGAGCCCTTGCTTTAGAAAGAGTATACTTTCTGGATCTCAAGACCCTGCATTCTCCTGGTTTTCTCTCTGGCTTTTTTCCCCTCCTTCTCAATATCCTCTGCAAGATGTGCTAGCAAAATTTGGGGCCTCTCAAGGTGCAGTTCTCTTCATGCTTCTTACTCTCTCCCATCACATAGGAAGTCTTAACTGCGTCTCTGCCTTCTGTTTTCTCCCAGTTCCTCATCAGTTCTAACATATCTCCAGGCAGATGGCACCAAAGGACCCCTAATGTTCACCCAGCTCCTCCATCTGAATGTCTTCAAGGAGCCTTCAAACCGTTGTGTGTAAAACGGAACCGAGGAAACCCCAGCAAACATACACAGAACACACACAGTTCCAAACCTTAGCGTTTGATATTTTAGTGAATGGCACCATCATCTGTGCGGTTGGCTAAATCAGGGACCACCCTCGAGATTGTGCCGCTGGGAGGACGGTTACTGTATGCCCTGGAAGTCACTCGGTTCCACAGTGTATTTTTTTAAAAAACAAGAAATATAGCTTTGTTTTTGTAAACAATGAGATATTTAGATTGCTTATAGACACAGCATAATTTAGCCCATCCTGAATAACACAGTATATATCAGGGTTTATAATTACACATTCCTTTATTTATTATCTTCATCCATTGCGAAATTGTCAGATTTAGTAGTACAGAAATTGTGTCTAGGTTTTGCATCCCCAGAACCTGGCACATTCCTAGCACATGAAAAGTACTTACAAATTATGTGTTTGATAAACAAAGGAATAAATAAAATAGGAAAACCCAAAGCATAATATTATGTTGATACAGCCCTTTATAAATATTGATAGAGCAAATGAATAAGTTGATTTTTGCTGTAATTTATAACAATTTATGAATGGAAGCCTAAAATAATGTCTTCAATCTAGAAACAAGGACTATATTTTCTGTGCCGCAATCCTGGTTTACACCCCAGTCAGTCACTAGCCAGCCAAATTCTGACGGCAAGGGCGTTTCAATAACAGCCGGTGCTTATGAAACGTCCTCGGATCAATGCATCTGTGTTGAAATAGAGGGAAATCAGGCGGTTGCTCTTCATCCACCTGGAGTAGCCTTTGCTTGAAAGAATGTTACTTTGCCCCTCTCCTGAGGAATATGCTGCAACTTTGTATCCAGATAGCATTCTGCAAAGTGCAAAGCTCTTCACACCTCCCTAACTGCTTGCTGTTGTTCTCCCCGGGTTCTCTTACCCTTTCTGCTCCCTGGCTGCCTCCTGTCATCCCCTAAGAAGACTTTCTGTTCCTGCTCTCAGCTCTGACGGCACAAGGTCTCCCAGGGTGACACTCCTTGTTTGACCTTCCTCTCTCTTCCCAGGGCTCCTCTGCCAATTTCCAGGTACTCCAAACATCACCCGTGGGACGGATACATTGCAATCTTGCTTATTCTCCAATATTAATAGCCTGTAAATCCATCTTTCAGAGACCGCTGTGAAGTTTTTATTGTGTTCTCAAACCAGGAGGCTATTTTTAAACATAATTTTTAAACTGGACTTTGGAAAATGAGGTGAACCAGGTTCCAGCGTTTTCAACAAATAAGTGCCTGAAAGTCCATCCCATTAAGGAGTTTTTAATTAAAAAGAACAACCCACAGGTGCCTCATTGTTCAAGTATGCTGGATCACTCAGCAGCCTTCCGAGGAGACAGAATAGTTCACTGCATGGTTAACGTTTTCGAGATAAAATTAACCCTAGCACAAGAGCAGGGCTGGCCATCAGAGGCTAAGGTAATTTTGTCTGAAGTGGGACTAGCTCCTCACTTTCATTTCTTTAAGTCTCCCAGAATAGCATAGAAAAGAGTAATCATGGCCTGGATTCTTTTATTTCCTCTCTACTCCATCATTTTAATGAGAATTTCAGCGAATGCCAGCTGACAATACCACTGTAGGGGAAAAACCAGAAACAGAAATGTAAATAGCAGGGGATAATTTTCCTCTTCACTTCTCTACTGATCTCTATGAAGGACGAGACAAAGATTAACACCCCTCTGTAGGCCCGGTACCTAGTGGAGTACAATGAATATAGTAGCCATTCAATAAATATTCGCTGGATGAAATTCATGTAAGATCTTGAAATACCTTCAATTAATAAATCATAATCTCAGAAAGAGAAAGTCCCCATGTTTTATTAACTTATGATGGATTTCGTGGCTCAGTAAATTTTATTCCTTGGGCTATGTGGGTCTCCTTTGTCACCACTTCTGAGCCTTTTGTCAAATAGAGTTGATCGGGTCACTTGTTTATTAGAGGGAAAAGGACAGGACACAGAGAGAGAGGAGTGGGAATCAAATGGTCAATTAAAGAAAGCATTTGCTGGAACCAGAACTCTGTCCTTAACAATAATGATCTTCAGCCGTAATTGAAACAGATTGATAAGTTTGTTCATGCCCGTGTGCTTTTGAGAGACCCTGTAGGGCATCTCTATGTCAGAATCACCTCGCAAGCGATGGGCCCACCTTAGAAATATTGAATCAAACTCTGGGGCTGGGAATGTAGCTAAGCACTTGGGAGGCCCTCAGTTCAATCCCAGTTCTGCAAAGAAGGCCGGGCCTAGGGACCCTGGAATCTGCATTTTGTATGACTGTGGTTTGTATGCGTTTATGATGTATAGCTACTTAGGTAACCGCGCTGCCTCTAAGAATATTTAGTATGTATGACTGCTACCTCTCCACCTTTAGGAAGAAGGGATTAATCTTTCCTCAAGAACTTCATGGAGAATCAGTTATATCAGAAGAGAAAGCAACTTAGACTTATGTATGCATGGATGTATGTTTTTGTGCATGGATGTGTTTCCAGGGAAGGCTGTGGCTATGATTAAAAATACTTTTAAAGTTGAGAGCAGTGAAAATGAAGTTTAATAAGTATAGATGAAAAGCATTTTAAACATTTCTAAGAGAAGGAAGGAAGCCAAGATGCTCAAGCAGGAGACAGCAGAGAGGAGACGGGCCAGGAGGAATTGAGGAGGGGCAGGGCGGGAGGGCAGGATGTGCTTCTTGGAAACTCTTTCAGGGCCAGGTCCCCCTCTTCCAGGCTTCCCAAGTCCCAGTTTCCTCTCCTGAAGATGAGTCAGGTGGAGAAGAGTAGAAAACATACACGGTATATTGTACGTGTTGATTCCTTCCCAGCCCTGATGATCAAAGCCCCCAGATCTCCTTGCCTTTGACTCTGACTCTGACTGACAACTTCGAACAATGGATGTTAAACTCCATCAGTAGTGACAGGAGCAACTTTGGGTGGAACTCTCCTTGTGCACAGGTTGATTGTTTTTCTTACCTGCAGTGGAATAAAAAGCTCATTCAGTGCCATTTTGGGAAAAGTGGTACGGCTACAAGCTCTTACTAACCATATCCCTCGGGGGATTCTTTGACCTGGGTACCTAGGGCCGGTAAGACTGTGGCTGTAGTGGTATATGGGGTCCTTCCACATGTAAATAGTTGTTCAAGTTTATATCTGAACTGTATTACTTTGGGCCATGGTATATTGGAAAGCTTTCAATGCAAAGAATAAGTTAATGCATATGTTAGAAAAGGGTCGCACTTTCAATGGAAATTCTAAATATATAAATTTATGTCACTGAGAGAAGGACATACTAGCCTCATGAATATTGCCATGTTTAGACTAAAGTGATTAATATTACTTTTCTGTGATTTTTTTGGCAGCCACTACAGAAGGAATTAGTCAGGCCCCAGGCCTGGATGATTTTCCCTTCCGAATGAGAATGTCATACAGACTCTCAAAAGCATGTGTAAGCCAGGAATGGTTGGTGGAGAGCGCCTATAATTTCAGCACTCTTGGAGACTAGGGCAGGAGGATCACAAGTTTAAGCTTGGCTTGGGCAGCTTAGGAACTTAGGGAGACCCCATCTCAAAATAAAAGTTAAAAAGGGCTGGGGTGGAGCTCAGTGCGAAGGCCCTGGGTTCAGTCTCCAATGCTGGGAAGAAATGCTCATATGCTCTCTGTCATTTTCTCCTTTGAGGAAAGATTTGCAGCTGCGATGCTGAGTATCGCTGCCTGTGTGGAAGGGGGTGAAGAGGAGCAGCCGTGTTGTGTCTGAGCAGCTCTGCCTCTCCAGGCGCTGACTTCTACGGCCTTTTCCTCAGGGTTGTGTCTGGCTGCCTCTCACAGCCCAGGCAAGGAGATTTTCCTCCTAGTGCCTCCAAGGTAACTTTTTTTTTTCTTGGCACTACACTCCAATTGGCCTTAATGATGAAATCTTTACAAATTTATACCTCTGGTTTCCTAGGTGATAATTTAATATCATTACTCCTTGCTTGCAACCTGCTTGGAAACTTCCATTTCACTGTGGCCCTCTTTTCGGTTTGATTTCATTGTGTAACTCCCTTCAAAGGGACAGGGCTCCCTTGCCTTTGGTGACAGCGATGTCATTTAATGATGCTATGACACACATGTAGTGGAATGTTTTTATGTGGGACCAACCATGTTTAAAACTACATCAAACAAATAGTTTTGCAATTAAGAATTGTTAAGAAGTATTTTTCATTCTTTATTTGTAAACAATTTAGGGATTCAGTTTTTTAAATTATTCAAATATATTACTATAATATTAAAGGAACTGTTATTGAAGAATGTCAAGTATTATCGCTTACTTGCAGTTTGCTTTAGGCAAAACAAAGCCCAATCAACATTAAATTCTTTTTAAAAATATTTTTATTAGTACCTGTTTTCAGTACATAATGATCACATCTACCATGGGGAATTTGTATGTGCACAGAAGATATCCTGATTCTTGTTTTGTTCTTGTTTCTTTCCCTGCCAACCCCTACCTGCCTCCTCTCTTGTTCCCCTTTCTATTTCCGTTTTTTCCTTCCACCACCTCATTTTTCATCTCTTCTCCTTCCCTCCTTCCTCTTCCCTCTGTCTCTTGTTCCCCTGCCCATTTGAAAAAGACATCCTATTTCCTATTATCTTTCTTTCATTTTGTTCTTTATTTACATTTTGGATTTCTCATATAAGAGAAGCCATATGATATTTAATCTTGTGTGTCTGATTTATTTCACTCAACATTATGGTCTCGAGGTGCATCCATTTACCTACAAATGACTCAAGTTCATTATTGCATTATTGCATTATTCATTTCCTTATTGCAGATAGCACTTAAAAACGCTCTTTTTCATTTCCTTCCCACCGTCTCTGCCATACAAGGAGGCTAAGTTTTCAGCATTCGTGGTAGGATGTATCTTGTCTAATAGCACAGTCATGAGCCTTACAGGAAGAAGGGGACTTCTAGAAGTTTCAAGCTAACCTGGGTTGAGTGATGACACGCACGCACAAACAGTAGGTCTATGAGGCAGGCAGAATGGGTTCTCAAGAAGCCCGTGCCCTAATCCCTGGAAATTGTGTTATCACATTACATGGCAAAGGAGACTTTGCAGATGTGATTATGGTTGTGGACCTTAAAAATAGGAGTTTATCTTGGATTATCTAGCTGAATCTAATCTAATCCACATAGATCTTTAAGAGCAAAGAGCCTTTTTCAGTTAAGAGTCAGAGAGAGGTGGCAGAAAAGGAAGTCAGAGAAATCTGAAGCAGGATCAGGCGCAACTCACCATCGCTGACTCCAAGAGAGAGGGACCATTGTGATGAGGCTGCAGAGGCTGGGAGGGTCCCAGGGCACCCCCAACTGGCAGGCAGCAAGGAAATGGGGACCTCAGTCCAAGTTCTTTCCAACAATGGGAAAGAGGATAGAAGGGGGTTCCTCCCCCAAAGCCTCTACACGATAGCCTGACCCAGCCCACACATCAACTTCTGCCTTGTGAGCCTCAGAACCAAAAAAACAAAGCGAGTCACCAAGATTTCTGACCTACAGAACTCTGAAATAACAAAATTTGTTCTTTAGAGCTTCTAGTTTTGTGGCAATTTATGACAGCAATAAAAAGTAATACAAGTAGGAAGCCTGGGATGAGAGTCATAGATTCTATCTCTGAACTGATCAACTTTGTGAAGATGAAACCTTTGCATTATTACAAAGAGGATTAAAATGTTAGATCTAAGGGACTGCACTTAGATGAATTCAGGAACAGCCTAATATGTTCAGGGGTTCCCAGATGGTTGGCTTGCATTTTATATTAACGTCTCTCTGCCTAGCTTCTCTTATCTCATAAGCTGGATTTGTAACAGGCCTTAAAGAAAGGGAGGGTAATAAATGAAATATTAATAAAGATGAACTTCAAATTCAGTGGACATTCTTTAAATGTATAGATTATAAACATGGTTATTGTGTGTTTTTAGGTTTAATTTCAAAATAAAAAATTGGATGGGAGTATCAGTCAATGAGAGTTGCCTATCTGCAGTTATTTACAGATGTCCAAAACTCATGTTGACCAAACTCTTGAGGTACTTGAGAAAAAAATTATTAGCCACTTTCTCATCTCTTAGACAAAAGATCATAGTTACACTTTGTGTGTGTGTAGTAAGAATGCTTAAAATCTACTCTCAAATGTTTTTTCTGCATATAATACAGTATCGTATTGGTGAGCTTTCCTGTTGCTGAGACAAAATACCTGACACCTGCAATTTAAAGTCAGACAAGCTGATTTTGGCTCATGGTTTCAGAGGTTCAGTCCATAGTTGGCTGGCTCCAAGGTAGAACATCATGGCGGAAGGGCATGGGGAAAGAAAGCTGCTCACCATCAGGAGGTAGTTGATGATGGGAGCCCTGAAGAAAAGTGAACCTGGATGAGTGAGGGAAGTGACATGGGGCAGAAGGAATGCTATTTCTTTTGTTGTTGTTGTTGTTTAATTTTTGGTATTGGGAATCAAACTTGGGACCTTGTGTTTGCAAGGCAGGCAGCACAACCACTGAGCTAAATCCCTGGCCCTGCTATTTTCATTTTTTAAAACAAATTTTATTTTAAATAATTAAGATATACATCACAATGTTACAGGATACATGTAGAGAGTTAAAAAAAAATGCTGTAGTGAAGCAGCCTCACATACTTGTCCATTTTTTGTTTCTGACTTTTTGGCACCTGCAGCTAAAATGTCATTTAGCAAGAATTCCACATACAGTACAATCCTCATGTTGTACATTAGATCCCTAGATGTGTCCACCCTACTTATCTATGACTTTTTACCGCCTGATCTTCATCTCTCCATTAATTGTCTTCTACTCCACACTAGCAACCACTGTTTGGTTTTCTATCTCTGTGTTTTTGAATTTTTTTAGAGAAATCCTTTTTTAGACACATGGGTCAGTGAAAGCCTCTGACAAGGAAATATATGACAAAGCTAAATTTTAAAAAATGCAAACGATTGCAGGCAGAGTGATCCAGAGGCATGGGAAGCCCCTGCGTGTGCAGGAAAAACAAGAGGCCCCAGAGGTTGGAAGAGCATTAGGTGGGGAGCAGTGGTAGGTGACAGAATCAAAGGGGTAGGTAGGGGCAGGGTCAGACGGGACCTTGTCGGTCAAGAGAAGGATTTCTTTTTATTCTGAGAAGAGGAAGAAGCCGTCAGAGAGACTGATTCAAGCAGAGGCAAAACTGCAATGCCTTTCTGTCTCCATGTCTTAGATATTATATTCCTTGAAAAAATAGTCAATATTTATCAGTTTTTCTTGCGTTCTTTGCTTCTGAACCCACTGAAGTCAGACCCTAGCGAGGATAAGGTTACCTCCCACTTTCCAAATTCAGCATGTTTTCAGTGTTTCCTTTTCAGCCCTTGGTGCCTTTGACTTTGGAGTCTAAGTTAGAGTTCCCTTTAATGTTTACAACCCAGTCCCACAATTATTGGCTCTGTGGCCCTGGGAAAGTTAGTTAATCTTTCTAGTCTTCAGTTTCCTCATCTGTGAAATGGGAAAAGGAATTGTAACAGCTTCACAGGATCATGGCGAAGGTCATAAAGATTACATACTAAACATTTATAAATACCAGTGATTTATCCCAAACCAAACTCCTCATGTTACCCTTCTCCCAAAACTGTTCCTCTCCTGTTAGCAGCATTGTCTGTTCTGGCTCAATACGTCACCTCCAGCATTCAGCTGGACCTGTGTGAAGAGATGATCAGGCATGGAAGCTGCTCCCTCATTCACGAGATTAGGGCCCTCCTGACAGGCACTCTGCGCGGCATTAAGCCAGCTTGCTCTCTTCCAGCTCCACCATAAGACTGGCAGTAAGGCTCTGTCGGGCACCCGAGGCTGGGGCCTTGCTTGGTCTTGAACCTCTCTGTCTCCAGAACCATGAGAAGTAAATGTCCATTCCTTACAAATTGCTCCATCCGTGGTATTATGTCGGAATAGCACAAACGGACTAAACCGTTTAAATCTAGCCCAAAACCTTCAGCATCCTTCTCAATAACAAAATTCTCCTGCAGGTTTAAGCTCTGAGACCCTCCCTCCACCCATTCCTATGCCTGCTGCCTGTCCTGCCTGACCACAAGCACACAGCAGATGTCCGTAACACAAAACTCTCCTTACCTTACGCTTTGGATGTCCTACTTCACCTGCCACTTACCTGATTTTTGCAAATTTTGCTTGGCTTCTCTTCATAATCCTTTAGGAATTTCTCTAATAATCACAAAACAACACTAGTAATAAATTCAACTGTTTACTCCATGCTAGCAAGCAGCACTGTGCTTCCGTCCATGATCTCATGGGATACTCACAGTCTCACGAAGTGGGTGTTATTATTACTGTTCTGTCTTACAGCTAAGGTAACTGAAACTCAGAGAAATGAAATAATACAGAAAAAGTCACACCCAAATAAGTTGTGGAGCTGGGATTTAAACCCAGATCCAGCTGATGTCCAAGCCCAAGCTTCTGAGCACCAGGCTCTTTTTTATTATACCTTGCAGGGAGCTCATCTTAGCACATTCGCTTCAAATTATTCTTGTTCGTATATTTTAAACCTTTGATGACTTTCCACTGTGTGTAGGACAATAGGGCACTTAGGTCTAGCGTGAAAGACCCTTTGCTATTCAGTCCCAATTGATTCTTTTAAAATTTAATTCACTTATGCCTATTTGTGTATGTTCAATTTTTATGTGCCCCTGATTTTATTGTACTTCCTTTTATATTATGCTATTTCTGTTTTGCTGTAGATGTTTTTCTCTTCTTCCTCAACACACATACACGTACACACACACACCAGTATTTTCAGCTTCATACAAATTTTTCTCAGTGTTCTGCATATTCACACAAACCTATA